CGTCATCAGCATGAAAGTATGTCCTCTGGAATGGTGGCCGAAGCATGAAGGGGCATATGAATGTTTAGCACATCTGGCACGTAAATACCTTGCAATGCCGGCTACAAAAGTACCCTGCAAATGCCTGTTCTCACTTTCTGGTGACATTGTAAATAAGGAGAGGGCAGCATTATCTCCTGTAAATGTAAACAAATGTGGTAGTCTTAGCTATCGGCTGAATGAGAAATAGGACTGAGCGGATTTACAGGCTCTGAAGTTTTACATTGTTTTGTTTTTGAATGCAGTTATGTAAGAAAAAAAATCAACATTTGTAAGTTGCACTTTCACGATAAAGAGATTGCACTATAGTACTAGTATGAGGTGAATTGAAAAGACTGTTTCTTTTGTTATTTTTACAGTGCAAATATTTGTAATAAAAAATATACACTTGATTTCAATTACAACACAGATACAGAAAATGTAGAAAAACATCCAAATATTTAATAAATTTCAGTTGGTATTCTATTGTTTAACAGTGCAGTTAATTTTTGTGAGTTAATCGCGTGAGTTAACTGCGATTAATTGAAACCTTTTACATTTTGTTTAAAAGGTGAACTATAATTTAGCTTAAATTTCAAAATCAAAATGTCAGAAGTCCCATGACAATTTTGAAGTTTATTTCAACATTTTTCAAGTTTTTCAAGAAAATTATCAACTGATATTGCCTGTAAAATTTGAGAGAATTCCCGTTAGATCAATAGACTTTTGTTTGCAGCACTAAATAACATTGTTTTTGATTACACTGCTCTACAGCCAAAATGCTTCTGAAATAAATGTAGTCAAACGTTACTAATTCTGGGACACTGAGAATGAAAATAATGCTTAAAATTGTTGATTGCCTCTAGTTTTCAAGATATGCTATTGGGTCAGTATATACGACCCTTGACTTGGGAATGGCGGAGGATAAGTGAGTTATAAAGGGAAGGGATCTCAATTTAAACCAGAAATGACTAAAATACATCTTTGACTGGATCTATGAATAAATCTATGATTGGGTTTGGACAGTACTTGCTTTTTAGGCAAAAGAATGAATGAT